ATATTCAGGTGAGGGTCCAGTGACCCTGCTTGGCACTCCTTTAATGAATGAGCACAACTGTCAACAAGCCCAATTGTGACTATGTTTAACGATCAGGCTCAGCCAAAATCGTGATGATGGTAGTTATTTCATGCAGACCGGACTGCTGTATATCATCATCTTATTAAAAGGAACTGGAATTTACAAGGATTTGGTGCTAGGGGCCACATATGAGGGAGAAAATACGTCGTTTATTTTTCTGAGTCTGGATTACTTCACTTAGTATAACAGTTTCTAAATCCATCCATTTACCTGCAAATTTCATTAGTTCATCTTTCTTTACTGCTGAATAGAACTCCATTGTGTAAATATACCACATTTTTGTTAACCACTTGTCAGTTGAGGGACACTTAGGTTGCTTCCATCTCTTAGGTATTTTGAAAAGAGCAGCAACAAACATGGTTGTACAAGTGTCTCTATAGTAGGATGAGTCCTTTGGGTATATGCCAAGGAGTGGTATAACTAGGTAATATGGTAGGTTCATTTTTAGTTTTTTTTTTTGTCTTTTTGAGACAGGGTCTCCCTGTAGCCCCAGCTGTCCTGGAACTCACTATGTAGACCAGATTGGCCTCGAACTCACACAGATCCGCCTGCCTCTGCCTCCCAAGTGCTGGGATTAAAGGCATGCACCACCACGCCCGGCCTCATTTTGGGGTTCTTCAGAGTTCTCCACACTGTTTTCCATAGAGGCTGTGCAAGTTTGCAATCCTACCAGCAGTGAATGAGCGTTCCCCTCTCTCCACATCCTCACCAGCATTTGGTATCATTTGTTTTCTTGATCCTAGCCAGTCTGATTGGAGTAAGGTGATACCTTAGGGTGGTTTTAATTTGCATTTCCCTAATTACTAAGGATGTTGAACACTTTGAGATGTTTCTTAGCCATTTTTATTTCTTCCTTTGAGAACTCTCTGCTTAGATCTTTAGCCCATCTTTTATTGGGTCTTTTGGTTTCTTGCTTCTTTCTTTTTGAGTTCTCTATATATTCTGGATGTTAAACCTTTGTCAGATGTATCACTGGTGAAGATTTTTTTCCCCATTCTGTGGGTTTTCTCTTCATGTTTTTGATTGTTTCTTTTGTTGTACAAAAGGTTTTTAGTTTAATGAGATCCCACTTGTTGATTGCTGACCTTAATTCCTTTCCTCCACCTGTATCTTGTAAG